GTGGTTTTGGGGCGTTCTGGGGGTACCTGTGCGATGCCGGTGACGGAGATGGGCACCCCGTGGCGGGTGTAAACCTTCTCACTGCGCACCGGCAGCGTCAGCGTGTTCAGGGAGATCCTGGGGGGGCCGGGGGGGGGTCACCCCAAATCTCTGGGGACCCCTCCCGAACCCCAAAAAACCCCCCCGGGCCCCTCCTCACCGCTGGATCTGCTGCAGGCACGGGATCACCAACACCCGGCCCCCGGCCACCATCACCGGGGGGCTGCGGCAAAAACCTGGGGGGCACCGAGAGCTGGGGGGGACCCCAAAACCCCGGGGGGACCCCAAAACCCCGGGGGGGACACGAGGACAACCCCAGGAATCCCCGGGATGGATTTGGGGGGGTCCCAGGAGGGGGTTGGTTGGACCCCCAGGAGTTTTGGGGGTCCCAGAAGGGGTTTGGAGGAGTTGGGAGGGGTCCAAGGAGTCCCAGGGTGGGTTTGGGGGTCCGGGGGGGGGGTTCCCAGGAGTTTTGGGGAAGATTCTGGGGGTTCCCTGGAGGGTTTTTGGAGGGATTCTGGGGGTTCCCAGGAGATTTTGGGGGGAGAGATTCTGGGGGTTAGCGGGAGTTTTTGGGGAATTCTGGGGGTTCCCAGGAGATTTTGGGGTGGGGGGGAATTCTGGGGGTCCCTGGAAGGGTTTTTGGGGGAATTCTGGGATTTCCCGGGAAATTTCTGGGGGGATTTGGGGTTCCCAGGAGTTCTGAAGGTCTCCAGGAGCCCCCGGGCCCCCCGAACTCACCCGACACCACCATGGCCTCGTTGGGGCCGCAGGTGAAGAACATCGCGGCGGGGGAGGGCCGGGGATCGATAGGGATCGATGGGAATCGATGGGGATCGATCGGGGCCGATCGGGATCGATCGCGATCCGCGACCGCCGCCCCGATCCCAGCAGGCCCCGCGCTCGCTACTTCCGCATTAGCGCTGTGACGTCACCGAAAACGCGGCTTCCCATTGGCTGCCGTGCCAAGAGCGGGAAGAGGAGGTCTGTTCTGCCTGGCAACTTGTGACGTCCCTGATTTCCCGGCACTCCATTGGCTGCGCCCTGCTCAAATTTCCGTAGTTTCCATGGGAAATGAACAATTTCAGTTCGGGATGAACCTGGAGCGGAGGGCAGTGACGGGGTCTGGGGAGCTCCAGACCATGGCTGGGTCGCGGTCATCTCATGGCCAGCTCATGGTCATCCCAGGGTCAACTCATGGCTATAATCGTGTTACGGTCATCTCACGGCTGTGGTGGTGTCATGGTCAGAATCATCTCATGGTCATGGTCATGTCATGGTGATGGTCATCTCCTGATTGCCATCGTTTATGCTTATGGTCATCTCATGGTCAAGATCACGTTATGGTCATGGTCATGTCATGGTCATTTCTTAGTCACAATTCCTCATGGCCATGGTCATCTCACAGTCATTGTTATGTCATGGTCACAGTCATGGACATTTCTTAGTCACCTTATGGCCATAGCTGTGTCATGGTCATCTCAAGGTCATAGTGCTCTCATGGTCATAGTCATGGTAATCTCATGGTCATCTCTTGGTATCAATATCTCATGATCATGGTCATCTCACAATCATAGTCACGTCATCATCATGGTCATAGTGTCACCATGACAGTCATGGTCATTTCCTGATCACCATCATCTCATGCTCATGGTCAACTCACCATAATGGTCATCTCATTTCTGATTACCATCATCTCATGGTCATGGTCACAGTCATGGTCATAGTTCTGTCAAGTTCATATCATGGTCATGGTCATCTCGTGGTCATAATTGTCTCTTTATCACCATTATCTCGTGGTTGTGCTCACCCTGTGGCCACAATAATTTCATAGCCATGGTCATACTGTGGTCATCTCCTAATCTCAATCATCTCATGCTCATGGTTGTGTCATGGTCATTGCATGTTCATTTTATGGGCTTGGTCATCTCCCAGTCCCCATTATCTCATGCTCATTGACATCTCACTGTAATGGTCATCTCATGGTCACCTCATGGTCATCTCAAGGTCATGGTTGTGTCATGGTCATTGCATGGTCAAGGTCATCTCATGGTCTGGATCACTTTGGCCATAATGGTTTCATGGTCATCTCATGGTCATTTCTCGGTCACCTCATGGTCATATCATGGCCACAATCACATCATCAAAGCAGTGGTTGTGTCACAGTCATGGTTATTCCATGGTCATGGTCATCTCATTGTAATGATCATCTCATGGTCATAATCATGTCATGATTGTGGTCATCTCACTATCACATCATCATCTTGATCACCACATGGCCATGATATGTTGTGGTCATTTCATGGTCATCTTTTGGTTACAGTTATCAAATGCTCACAGTCATGGTCATGGTCATCTCATTGTTGCCTCATGGTCAGCTGATGGCCACAATCACATCATGGTCATCTTACATCTGTGATTGTGTCATAGTCATGGTTCTCTCTTGATCAACTCATGGTCAAAATCTTGTCATGATCTTGATCATTTCATGGTTGTGGTTGCATTATGGTCACAGTCATGGTCATCTAATGGCCTTGATCACCCCATGGCCACGGCTGCATTGTGGTCATGTCATGGTCACAATCATCTCATGGTCACAGTCATCTCATGGCCATCTCAGGGTGATGATCATTTCCTGATGACAATCATCTTATGCTCATGGATATCTCACTGTAATGGTCATCTCACAGTCACCTCATGATCTTGATCATAGACGGCCATGGTGTGTTGCAATCATCTCCTGGTCATCTCTTGGTCACAATCATCACATGCTCATGGTCATCTCACAGTCAGGGTCATTGCATGGTCATGGTCATTTTATGATCACCTCATGTTCAACTCATTTGCCACAATCTTATCATGGTCATCTCTCAGCTGTGGTTGGGTTGTGGCCATGGTTATCCCATGATCAGCTATCTCATGGTCATCACATGGTCATGGTCATTTGCTGACAGTCCTCATCTCATCCTCTCAGTCATGCTCATCTTATGTTCCCAATCATATCATGGTCAGCTCATGGCCATCTCATGGTCATGATGATCTCATGAGCATGGTTATCTCATGGCCATCTCATGGTCACAATCATCACATGGTCATGGTTGTCTCATTGTTATGGTCATCTGGTGGTCATTATTGTATCATGGCCATGGTTATCTCTTGCTCATCTTATGATGAGCAAAAGCTCATCATGAGCTCATCTCATGGGGTCTTTATGACCCCGTGGCCATGGTTAAGTCATGGTCACCTCATGACCTTGATCACGTTATGGCTTTGTCATGGTCATGAAATGCTCATGGTCATGACATGGTCATGGTTATCTCATGGTCAACTCATGGCCACAGTCATGTCATAGTCATCTCCTGATCACCATCATCTCATGTTTATGGTTGTCTCCTGATCACAATCATCTCATGGTCATGGTCCTCTCATGGTCACCATCTCATGCTCATGGCTGTGTCAGGGTCATCTGACGGTCACAGTCCTCTCACGGTCATGATCATCTCATGGCCATAGTCACAGTCATGGTCATCACACAGTCATCTCATGGTCAGCTCATGGCCACAATCATATCATGGTCATGTCAGGATTACAGCTGAGTCATTGTCACAGCCATCTCATGGTCATGGTCATGATCATATCATGATCATGCATAGCAATGGGGAACAAGGACACATGGACCTCCTTGCTTGCTCCAAGAATATTGTTTATTGTAACTAACCAAGCCTTTTTATACTTTAAACTTGACCCAAACTTTACTGAATTAAGCACACATTGGCTGCCTGTCACTGTGGTGTAGCTATTGACGTGTCCCTTTACCCAATCAGCTCTCTGATCGTGTGGTGTCTACGAATCTCCCCAGTCAATCCCTGCCTCACACACGAGGTAAGCACCAACCCACTCTGGCCATCGACCTGAAGCTGAGCCTTCCCAGAGTGCCTTTAGGTGAACAGAAGTGAACAGGATTGAACAAAAGTGGAAAAGGTCCTTATTCTGTAAGGCTTTTCTTATTTCCCACAGTTATTGTCATCATCATCATCATCTTATGGTCATGGTCATCTCATGGTCATGTCACAGTCACCTCATGATCACAATCGTCTCACAGTCACAGTTGTGCCATGATCATTTCATGGTCTTGATAAGAGCCATGGTGTGTTGTGGTCATGTCATAGTCACGTCTTGGTCAAGATCATGTCATGGTCACAGTCATGGTCATCTCAAGGCCTTCATAATTTCATGGCCATGATGGTGTCATAGTCATCTCATGGTCATCCCATTGTCATGATCATCTTGTGGTCACGGCCATCTCATGGTCATGGTCATTTCCTGATCACCATCATCTTATTCTCATGGTCACCTCACTGTAATGGTCATCTCATGATCATGTCATTGTCACTTCATCATCATCTCATGGCCACAATCACATCAGGGTCACCTCAAGGCCGTGGTTGTGCCATGGCCAACCCATGGTCATCTCTTGGTCCAAACCATCTCATGGTCAGGGTTGTGATTGTGTCATGGTCACAGTGATGGCCATGGTCATGGTCATCCCATGGTCATGGTCATCTCAGGGTTGTGTCACTCATGGTCACTCTCACGGCCATCTCATGCTCATGTCATGGCCGTGGTCATGGCCAGGGAACCCCTCCGAGATCCTGAGCCCTGATTTTGGGACACTCAAGGGCCTCTGGGGACAACAAGGCCTGGCCTGACCCCTCCCCCCATCGCGCTGCCCTTCCAGGAGCCCGACGCAGCCAAACCCTCCTGGGGACACCTCGGACATGGGACATGGAGAGGGAAATTAATCCCAGGGGATGGAGCTGAGTGTGGCTGGCAAGTCCCCATCCTGCTCCTGCTGCCCCTATCCCAGTTTCTGGTGTCCCCATCCCTGCTCCCAGTGTCTCCATCTCTGTCCCAGTGACCCCATTCCTGTTCCTGGCTCCCAGAGAAGAACTGCCACACACTGGAGGAGGGAACTCGGATTTATTGCCCCAAAGCAGGATTTATTGCCCCAAGCAGGATTTATTGCCCCAAGCAGGATAATTTCACACCAGAGTGAAGCATTGCGAATATCTGTGGTTCTTGCCTTTAAAACATTGCAAAACAGGAAATAGATCCATTAGCAAGAGCAGTGGGGTGCGTGGGAGTAGGGGGATGAACTCTGCTGGCAGCTCTCAGCTTTCCCAGGAAGAGGGAAGGGGCTGGATCCAGCTCCATGGATCGCTCAGGCGGTGGTGATTCCTGTCGGGATGAGAGAGGGTCACGGTGTCACCCTGTCCCTGTCCCCATTCCACAGGATGGACCTGGCTGGAGCCCATGGGCAGCAGGATCCCACCCCAATCCTGCTGCAATCCTGCTCCATCCATCCCACCTGATTCTTGTCTGGAATCCACCCTTGATCCCACTCCATCCCTCCTCCCACACCAGTCCTGCTCCATCCATCCCTCCTGATCCTGCTCCAGGATCCAGCCCCAATCCCACTCTACAATTCCACCCAATGCCACTCTGGACCCCGCTCTGATCCCGAATCCCTCCCTGATCCCAGTCCATCCATCCTGCCCCGATCCCCCTCTGGAATCCCACCTCGATCCTGCTCCCTACCTGTGCTCAGGCCGTTGGTTCCCACATCCTTTCCTGCAGAAAGAGAAAATCCATGAGATTCCAGCATGGATCACACACAGGCATTAACCCCAGGATCCATCCTGGGATCTGCACAGAGGGGATCCAGAGCTGGATCCACCACTGGAACTCACCAGCTGCCGGGTTGTATCCTTTCCCGTCCCTCCTCCCTGTGGAAACAAAGTGGGATCAGCGTTGGTGGCACAGGATTCCCAGAATGACACCGGGTGGATCCGTGCCCCTTCCCGACCCCCATCCCGTGTGTTACCAGACTGGAGCCTCCAGACTCCGAATCCGATGAGGACGATGAGGATGGCAGCGATGACGCACACAGCGACCAACACGGTGAGATTCCCACCAGATGTTCGCTCTGGGAAACACAGGATAGTGAGGAGGGGGAGGGGAATCCCTATTTGGGAATTCCAAATTCCCAATTCCCACACTCCCAGCCTCACCCCAAGCGAAGATCCCAGGCTCCAGCATTCCAGGATGCTCCACCCTGCACCGGTACTGTTCCCACTTCTCCGGCAGCGCCTCGATCCTGGCCCAGGTGTGGAAGGTGCCGTCGCTGTTGGGAACGATCCCGCCCCACTCCGGCCCCTGATCCAAGGTATCATTCCCCTTCATCCAGCTGACTACGATGGTCTTGGGATAGAATCCGTACGCGTGGCAGGAGAGGATCAGCATCCCGTGTTCCTCTTTTCCGGACACATGGACATCTGGGCGCACTGGAATGGGATAATGGTGGAATCCATGCACGGAGTTCCATGGGAATGGGACTGGGGTGAGATCTGCCCGTGGAATTCCCATTGGAATGGGATGGAGATGAGATCTGCCCATGGAATTCCAAGGGAATGGGATGGGGGCGAGATCTGCCCATGGAATTCCATGGGAATGGGATGGGGGTGAAATCTTACTATGGAATTCCTAAAGGAATGGGATGAGAGTGAGATGTACCCATGGAATTCCCACTAGAATGGGACAGGGGCAAGATCTAGCCATGGAATTCCCACTGGAATTAGGGTGTTCCCAAGTCCTCCATTCTCAAATCCCAAATTCCCACAGGAATTTCCATGGAATTCCCACTGGAATTACGGTGTTCCAAGTCCTCCATTCCCAAATCCCAAATTCCCATAGGAATTCTGCTCCCACCTTTGCGCTCCAGCTCCTTCTGCCCGTACCCGACGTATTTCTGGAGCCATTCCGGGCATTCGTGACCCAGGTAATTCGTGAAACCCTCAGCCACCTCTTCCTGTTCCCAGCGCCTCCTGGTGACCTCAGCACCGCTGTCGGCCGCCACGAATCTCCCGGATGCCAGGTCAAAGGAGATGAAATCCTGCCCGTCGTAGCTGTGCCGCTCAGATCCACGGACGCTCCCGTCGGACAGGAGGTCACAGCCATAAAGCCGCAGCCATGCGTGGAGACCTGGGGGGATTGTACCCACAGAGCCCCATGGAATTGTGTCCCAGCCCCACAGAGCCCCATTCCAGCCCCATGGAGGCCCAGAGTCTGATGGAGGCCTACAGAGCCTCATCCCAAGCCCCTTGGAGCCCCAGGGATCCACATCCCAACCCCACGGATCCCAACCCAACCCCATGGATCCCATCCCAGCCCCACAGATCCCATCCCAGCCCAATGGATCCACATCCCAGCCCTACAGTTCCCATTCCAACCCCACAGATCCCATCCCAGGCCCATGGATCACAAGCTCTCCCATCCCAACCTAATGGATCCCTGTTTCAGCCCCTTGGAGCCCTGTGAATGCACACCTGAGACCTATAGATCCCATCCCAGCCCCACAGATCCCTATCTTAGCCCTACAGTTCCTATCCCATCCCCACACATCCCATCCCAGCCCCATGGATCTATATCCTAGCCTGTGGATCACGAGATATTCCATCCCACCCTAATGGATCCCCATTTCAGCCCCTCAGAGACCTGTAAATCTACTTTGGAGACCTATAGATCCTATCCCAGCCCCACTGTTCCCATTCCAGCCTCATGAATCCCCATCTCAGCTCTACAGTTCTTATCCCAACCCCAGACATCCCATCCCAGCCCCATGGATCCTCACCCCAGCCCTATAGATCCCATTCCAGCCCCACAGATTGAATCCCAGATCCACAGATCCCATCCCAGCCCTACAGTTCCCATCCCAGCCCCACAGATCCCATGGATCCATATCCCAACCTGTGGATCAAAACATATCCCATCCCAGCCTAATGGATCCCCGTTTCAGCTCCTTGGAGCCCTGTGAATGCACACCTGAGACCTATAGATCCCATTCCAGCCCCACAGATTCCATCCCACCCCCATAGATCCCCTTCCTAACCCTATGGATCCCCATCTTAGCCCTGTAGTTCCCATCCCAGCCCCACAGATCCCATCCCACCTGCATGGATCCAATCCCAGTCCCACAGATCACATTCCAGCCCCATGGACCCACATCCCAACCTGTGGATCACAAGAAATCCCATCCCAGTCTAACAGATCCCCATTTCAGCCCCTTGGAGCCCTGTGAATCCACACCTGAGACTTATAAATCCCACCCCAGTCCCATGGATCCTCACCCCAGCCCCACAGTTTCCATCCCAGCCCCACGGATCCCCATCCTAACCCCATGGACCCCCATCTTAGCATATTTCATCCCAGCCTAATGGATTCCCATTTCAGCCCCTTGGAACCCTGTGAATGCACACCTGAGTCCTATAGATCCTCACCCCAGACCTACAGTTCCCACCCCGGCCCCACAGATCCCATCCCAGCCCCATGGATCCCAACCTGTCCCCATACATCCCATCCCAGCCCCATGGATCCTCACCCCAGCCCCACAGATCCCCATCCTAACCCCATGGATGCCCATCGTAGCTCTACAGTTCCTATCCCAGCCCCACACATCCCATCCCAGACCCATGGATCTATATCCCAACCTGTGGATCACAAGGTTTTCCATCCCACCCTAATGGATCCCCATTTCAGCCCTCAGAGCCCTGTAAATCCACTTTGGAGACCTACAGATCCCATCCCAGCCCCACAGTTCCCATCCCAACCTCATGAATCCCCATCTCAGCTCTACAGTTCTTATCCCAACCCCACAGTTCCCATTTCAGCCCCACAGATTGAATCCCAGACTCATAGATCCCATTCCAGCCCTACAGATCCCATTCCAGCCCCACGGATCCCCATCCTAACGCCGTGGATCCCCATCCCAGCCCCATGGATGGACATCCAAACCTGTGGATCACAGAATATTGCATCCCAGCCCCATGGATCCCCATTTCAGCCCCTTGGAGCCCTGTGAATCCACTTTGGAGACCTATAGATCCCATTCCAGCCCCACAGATCCACATCCCGACGCCATGGATCCCAACCTGTCCCCACAGATCCATCCCAGCCCCATGGATCACAAGTTATTCCATCTCAGCCTAACGAATTCTCATTTCAGCCCCTTGGAGCCCTGTGAATGCACACCTGATACCTACAGATCCCATCCAAGCCCCATGGATCCTCACCCCAGCCCCACAGATCCCCATCCTAACCCCATGGATGCCCATCTTAGCCCTACAGTTCCTATTCCATCCCCACACATCCCATCCCAGACCCATGGATCTATATCCCAACCTGTGGATCACAAGATTTTCCATCCCACCCTAATGGATCCCCATTTCAGCCCCTCAGAGCCCTGTAAATCCACTTTGGAGACCTATAGATCCCATCCCAGCCCCACAGTTCCCATTCCAGCCTCATGAATCCCCATCTCAGCTCTACAGTTCTTATCCCAACCCCACACATCCCATCCCAGCCCCATGGATCCTCACTCCAGCCCTACATATCCCATTCCAGCCCCACAGATTCCATCCCACCCTATGGATCCCCTTCCTAACCCTATGGATCCCCATCTTAGCCCTGTAGTTCCCATCCCAGCCCCACAGATCCCATCCCACCCACATGGATCCAATCCCAGTCCCACAGATCACATTCCAGCCCCATGGACCCACATCCCAACCTGTGGATCACAAGAAATCCCATCCCAGTCTAACAGATCCCCATTTCAGCCCCTTGGAGCCCTGTGAATCCACACCTGAGACTTGTAAATCCCACCCCAGTCCCATGGATCCTCACCCCAGCTCCACAGTTTCCATCCCAGCCCCACGCATCCCCATCCTAACCCCATGGACCCCCATCTTAGCCCTACAGTTCCTATCCCAGCTCCACAGATTCCATCCCAGCCCAATGGATTCAAATCCCAACCCCACGGATCCCATCCCAGCCCCACAGATCCCATCCCAGCCCCATGGATCACAAGCTCTCCCATGCCAACCTCATGGATCCCTATTTCGCTCCCTTGGAGCCCTGTGAATGCACACCTGAGACCTATAGATCCCATCCCAGCCCCACAGATCCCACCCCAGCCCCATGGATCTTCACCCCAGCCCTGCAGTTCCCATCCCTGGCCCCCAGATCCCATCCCTGTCCCATGGATCCCATGGATTCCAGCCCTACAGTCTCCATTCCAGCCCCACAGATCCCACCCCGCCCTACAGTCTCCATTCCAGCCTAATGAATCCTCGTTTCAGCCCCTTGGAGTTCTGTGAATGCACACCTGAGACCTACAGATCCCATCCCAGCCCCACAGATCCCATTCCAGCCCCATGGATCCACATCCATAGATCCTCACCCCAGACCTACAGTTCCCACCCCGGCCCCACAGATCCCATCCCAGCCCCATGGATCCCAACCTGTCCCCATACATCCCATCCCAGCCCCATGGATCCTCACCCCAGCCCCACAGATCCCCATCCTAACCCCATGGATGCCCATCTTAGCTCTACAGTTCCTATCCCAGCCCCACACATCCCATCCCAGACCCATGGATCTATATCCCAACCTGTGGATCACAAGATTTTCCATCCCACCCTAATGGATCCCCATTTCTGCCCCTCAGAGCCCTGTAAATCCAATTTGGAGACCTATACATCCCAACCCCACAGATCCCATCCCAGCCCCATGGATCCACATCCCAGCCCTACAGTTCCCATTTCAGCCCCACAAATTGAATCCCAGACTCATAGATCCCATTCCAGCCCTACAGATCCCATTCCAGCCCCACGGATCCCCATCCTAACGCCGTGGATCCCCATCCCAGCCCCATGGATCCACATCCCAGCCCCACAGTTCCCATCCCAACCTCATGAATCCCCATCTCAGCTCTACAGTTCTTATCCCAACCCCACAGTTCCCATTTCAGCCCCACAGATTGAATCCCAGACTCATAGATCCCATTCCAGCCCTACAGATCCCATTCCAGCCCCACGGATCCCCATCCTAACGCCGTGGATCCCCATCCCAGCCCCACAGATCCACATCCCGACGCCATGGATCCCAACCTGTCCCCACAGATCCATCCCAGCCCCATGGATCACAAGTTATTCCATCTCAGCCTAATGAATTCTCATTTCAGCCCCTTGGAGCCCTGTGAATGCACACCTGATACCTACAGATCCCATCCAAGCCCCATTGGATCCTCACCCCAGCCCCACAGATCTGATTCCAGCCCCACAGATCCCAACCCAGCCCCATGGATCCACATCCAAACCTGTGGATCACAAGATATGCCATCACAACCCAATGGATGCTCATTTTCAGCCTGTCAGAGCCCTGTGAATCCACACCTGAGACCTACAGATCCCATCCCAGCCCCATGGATCCACATCCCAACCCCATGGATAACAAGCTCTCCCACCCCAACCTAACGGATCCTCATTTTCAGCCCCTTGGAGCCCTGGGAATGCACATCTGAGACCTAGAGATCCCATTCCAGCCCCACAGATCCACATCCCAACCCCATGATCCCAACCCAGCCCCACTGATCCCATCCCAGCCCCATAGATCACAAGCTATCCCATTCCAGCCTAATGGATCCCCATTTCAGCCCCTTGGAGCCCTGGGAATGCACGCCTGAGACCTAGAGATCCCATTCCAGCCCCACAGATCCACATCCCAACCCCACAGATCCCATCCCAGCCCCACAGATCCCCATCCCATTCCTACAGTTCCCATTCCAGCCCCATGGATCCCATCCCAGCCCCATGGATCCACATCCCAACCCCACAGATCCCATCCCAGCCCTTAGACCACAAGATATTTCATCCCAGCCTAATGGATTCCCATTTCAGCCCCTTGGAACCCTGTGAATGCACACCTGAGTCCTATACCCAGTGATCATGAACTGGGGGACCCCCGGGCTGGGCTCTGACACCGCCACGTACAGGTAACGCAAGGAGTGGGGAACTGGGGGGACACAGAGATTTGGGGTGGTTGAGGGGATCATGGATCAATGAAAGGGGAACTGGGAGAGCTGGGAAGGGGTTTGGGGATCCTGGGGCTGAGGAAAGGGTGTGCAGGGTGGGAGAGGTGGGATGGACAGGAGAGGGCCTGCAGGGGGTCCTGGTGTCCAGGAATGGGGGCTCAGGGGGTTCCAGGGTTATGGGAGGTGGGGGGGAGAGGGTTGTGCAAGCAGGATGGGGGATCCAGGGGGATCCCAGGAAAGGGAGTCCAGGGGTCCCCAGTGCCAAGGAAAGGGATCACAAAGTGGGCAGACCTGGGAATGGAGGGCTCAGGGGTCCTTGATGCAGAGGAAAGGGGGAGCTGGGGGCTAAGAAAAGCAGAAATGGGGGTCCAGGGGGTCCAAGGGAAAAGGAAAAAGGGCATCTGAGGGCTAGGAAAGGAAGGATGAATGAGAAAGGGAGTGGAGGGGGGGATTGGTACTGTATAAGGGGATGCAGGGGGGTACCAGTGCCCAGAACTGGAAATTCAGGGCAGTCCCAGTGCCCAGAATCCCCCCTGGGACCCTCCCGGACCCCCTGAGACCCCCCTGCAGGATGAGCAGGGGGTACAGAACTGGGGGGATGCAGAGACTTGGGGGTCTGGGGGCATCCAAGAGGCAGGAACCAGAACTGGGAGAGCCGGGAAGAGTCCAAGGTTCAAGGAAGGGACTGGGAGAGGCGGGATGGGGGATCCAGGGGGTCCCTGTGCCCCGGGAAGGGGGCTCCAGGGGGTCCCGGGGTCACGGAAAGGGGGGGCTGGGGCTGGGAGAGGCCGGCGGATCCCGGGGACGCAGCTTGGGAGATGGGAAAGAGACCGAGGGAACGCGGGGGGAGGGGACGGGGGAAAAGGGGAATTCCAGGGAATTCATCTGGATCCCTCGGGATCCCCCCTGCGACCCCCCTGGGACCCCGTTTCGGGAAGGGGTGGGAGTGGAAAACGGGGGGACACAAAAAGTTGGGAGATCTGAGGGGTCCAAAGGTCAAGGGAAAGATCCAAAGGCGCTGGGGTCTGGGAAAAGCGGGATGCCTGAAAAGGGGGGCAGGGGGTCCCAGAGCACTGACGGGGGTGCGGGAGGGGGGGGGGGGGCCCAGTGTCTGGAAATGGAAATTCAGGGGTGTCACAGTGCCCTGGAATGAGGGTTCAGGGAGGTTCCCGTGCCACGTTTAGGGGTTCAAAGGGATCCTGATCGCCAGGAATGGGGGTTCAGGTGGGTCCCGATGCCAGATTAGGGGGTGCAGGGGGATCCCGTGCCAGGAAATGAACCTTCACGGGGGTCCCTGTGCCCAGGATTGGGGGTTCAGGGGAGCTTCCCTATGCAGGAATGGGGGTTCAGGGGATTCTCTTCCCGGAATTCGGGGTTCAAGTGGGTCCCGATGCCCGGAAACGGCAGGGGGGTCCTCGTGCTGGGGAAGGGGGTACAGGGGGGTCCCACTGCCCAGAAATGAGCGCTCAGGGGGTCCCCGTGCTCAGGAATGGGCTTTCAGTGGATTCTGATGCCCGGGAATGGCAGTTTGGGGGAGTTTCCCTGCCCAGGAATGGGGGTTCAGGGGGACCCGGTGCCAGACAAGGGAGACAGAGGGGTCCCAGTGCTGGGGAAGGGGATTGAGGGGGATCACAGAACACAAAAAGGGGGTTAGGTGTGGTGCCCCTGACAGGGAATGGACGTTTAGGGGGTTCTGGATGTCGGAAATGGAAGTTCAGGGGGTCCCGGCGCCCGGGAATTGCGGTTCAGGGGGGTCTCGGTGTCAGATAAGGGGGTACAGGGGGGTCACGCGGAAGCGAAAGGGACCGAGAAGGGCGGGGAGGGGAGGGGAGGGGGGAATTCCGGAGAATCCCTCTGGATCTCTCTGGATCCCCGCTGCGACCGTCCTGGAGCCCTCTGAGAACCACCTGGTACCCACTTAAGAAAGCGCCGGGAATGGAGAACTGGGGGGGACAGGGGAATTTGGGGGATCTGGGGGTGCAAAGGTGAAGGAAAAGGGCGGGAGGGCTGGGGAGGGGCACAGGGGGTCCCAGAACACGTGAAGGGGGTCCAGGAGGGGGTCCCAGTCCCGGATAAGGGGGTGCTGGGGGTCCCCATGCCCAGGAACGGAGGTTCAGGGGGTCCCCAAGCCCAGGAAAGGGGGGTGAGGGCAATGGGGGCTCCAGGGGGTCCCTGAGCCCAGGAAAGGGGGGTGAGAGCAATGGGGGCTCCAGGGGGTCTCTGTGCCCAGGAAAGGGGGATGAGGGCAATGGGGGCTCCAGGGGGTCCCTGAGCCTAGGAAAGGGGGTGCACGGTTCCCTGGTGGTGAGGAAGGTGGTGGGTGTGGGCTGGGGAAGGCAGGAGGGGGGGGCCAGGATCAAGGAAAAGCGGGGTTTGGGGTCTCCAAGAGGGAGAGGCCGGGAAAGGGGTGCGGGGGGGATTGATGCTGGATAAGGGGATACAGAGGGATCACAGTGTGTGAGAATGGAGGGCTTGGGAGGGTTCCAGTCCTGGATATGGAGGTGCACGGGGCTACTGGTGCAGCTGGATGAGGGTTCAGGGGGTCCTGGTGCTGTGTAAGGGGATGCAGTGCAGTCCCGGTGCTCAGGAAATGGGGTTCAGGGGGGGTTCCCTTCCCTGGTCCTGGGGTTCAGGGGGTCCTGGTGCCTTGAAATTGAGGTTCACGGGGGTCCTGGTGCCGGACGTGGAGAAGCAGTAGGCTACCAGTGCCCAGAAATGGGGGTTCAGATGTGTTTCCGGGACAGAAATGGGGGTTATGGGGGGTCCCGGTGCCCAGAAATGGGGTTTCAGGAGGTTTCCGTGCCCGGGAATGGGGGTTCAGGAGGTTCCAGGCTCCAGGTAAGGGGTGCAGGGGTTATCGGGGCTGGGGAAGGGACAACAGGGGGGTCCCGGTGCCCCGAAATGAACATTCAAGGGGGTCTCTATGCCCAGGAAGGGAGGTTGGCTCGGAAATGGAAGTTTGGGGGTGTCCCCGTGCCCGGGAATTGCAGTTCAGGGGGGTCCCGGTGCCGCAGCTTGCAAAGTGACTGGGACAGCGCGGGGAGGGGGAGGGGACAGAGCAAACCCTGGAATTCCCCTGAACCCCCGGGACCTGCCAGGACCCCCCCAGCAGGACGCACAGGGGGTGGAGAACTGGGGGGACGCAGAGACTTGGGGGTCTGGGGGCATCCAAGAGGCAGGAACGGGAACCGGGAGAGCCGGGAAGGGTCCAAGGTTCAAGGAAGGGACTGGGAGAGGCGGGATGTGGGATCCAGGGGGTCCCTGTGCCCACCAAAGGGGATCCAGGGGTGCCCGGTGTTGAGGGAAGTGGGGTCTGGGAGCTGGGAAAGGCAGGAATGGGGGTTCAGGGTGTCCCGGGTCACAGAAAGGGGGGGCTGGGATGGGAGAGGCGGGCGGATCCCAGGGACGCAGCTTGGGAGACAAGAAAGGGAGACGGGGATAAGGGGAATTCCAGGGAATTCATCTGGATCCTCGCTGAGACCCCATGGGACCCCTTCCAGGAAGCGCCGGGAATGGAGAACTGGGGGGACGCAGAAATTTGGGAGATTTCAGGGTCCAAAAGCCGAGGAAAAGGGCGGGTCTGGGGTCTGGGAAGGGCGGGATGGCCAGGAATGGGGGTGCAGGGGGTCCCAGAGCACTGACGGGGTGCGGGGGGATCCCAGTCCCAGATAAGGGGTTCAGGGGGTTCCCATGCCGGGGAACGTGGATTCAGGGGGAGTTTCCTTCAAGGAACTTGGGGTTTGAGGGTGTCCCGGTGACCTGAAATGGCGGCTCCGGGGGCGTGGGTGACCAGAAATGGGGGTACAGGGGGGTTTTCCTGCCCAGAAATGGCGGTACAGGGGGGTCCCGGTGCCAGGTGAGGGGGTACAGGGGGGTCTCGATGCTGGGGAAGGCGATTGAGAAGCTTCACAGGACACAAAATGGGGGTTCAGGGGGTTCCCGTGCCAGGGAATGCAGGTTCAGGGAGTTTCCTTCCTGGAATTCAGGGTTCGAGGCGGTGCCAGTGGCCAGAAGAGCGGCTCCAGGGGCACCCGTGATGAGAAATGGGGGTTCAGGGGGTCCTGGTGCCAGATAAGGGGGTACAGGGGGGCCCCGGTGCTGCTGAAGGGGCACAGGGGGGTCGGGGTGGCTGGAAATGGGCGCTCAAGGGGGTCCGCGTGCTCAGGAATGGGGGTCCAGGGGTCCCCAGTGCCAAGGAAAGAGGTTACAAGGTGGGAGGACCTTGGAATGGGAGGCTGGGGGTCCTTGATGCAGAGGAAAGGGGGGCCTGGGGGCTGAGAAAAACAGGAATTGGGGTCCAGGGGGTCTCAGGGTCAAGGAAAAAGGGAATCTGGGGACTAGAGAAGAAAGGATGGATGAGAAAGGGGGGGACTGGTACTGGATAAGGGGATGCAGCGGGATAGCAGTGCCCAGGACTGCAAATTCAGGGGAGTCCCAGTGCCCAGAATCCCCCCTGGGACCCTCCCGGACCCCCTGAGACCCCCCTTGCAGGATGAGCAGGGGGTGAAGAACTGCGGGCATGCAGAGACTGGGGTAGTCTGGGGGCATCCAAGAGGCAGGAACGGGAACCGGGAGAGCCGGGAAGGGTCCAAGGTTCAAGGAAGGGACTGGGAGAGGCGGGATGTGGGATCCAGGGGGTCCCTGTGCCCTCAAAAGGGGGCTCAGGGGTCCCCGGTGTTGAGGGAAGTGGGGTCTGGGAGCTGGGAAAGGCAGGAATGGGGCTCCAGGGGGTCCTGGGGTCAGGGGAAAGGGGGGTCTGGGGCTGGGAGAGGCGGGCGGATCCCGGGGGCGCAGCTTGGGAGATGCGAAAGAGAAAGAGACCGAGGGAACGCGTTCAGGGGACTCTCTTCCCAGAATTCGGGGTTCAAGTGGGTCCCGGCACCGGGAAATGGCGGTTCAGGGGGGTCCCGGTGCTGCCGAAGGGGGTACATGAGGGTCTCGATGCTGGGGAAGGGGATGGAGTGGGGTCACAAAATGGGGGTTCAGGGGGTCCGCGTGCCGGGGAATGCAGGTTCAGGGGAAGTTTCCTTCCCGGAATTCGGGGTTCAGGGGGGTGCCGGTGCCAGATAAGGGGGTACAGGGGGGTCGGGGTGGCTGGAAATGGGGGTTCAGGAGGTGCCAGTGATCAGAACTGGGGGTTCAGGGGGGTCCTGGTGCTGGGGAAGGGGATTGAGGGGGTCACAGGACCCAAAATGGGGGTTCAGGGGGGTTCCCGGTTGCCGGAAATGGAAGTTCCGGGGGTCCCGGCGCCCGGGAATTGCGGTTCAGGGGTTTCTCGGTTTCGGGGGGTCCCACTCACCTTTGGTCGCGCACCCCGGGTCCCCCAGGAGCGCCAGGAGCCCCAAGAGCACCCCCAGACCCAGTGCTGGAGCCATCGCAGCCGTCCCCGATCGCGGCTCCGGCGCAGCTCGAGAGACTCGAAAGCGAAAGTGCCCGAGGGAGCGCGGGGGGAGGGGAAAGGAGGAGGGGAAAAGGGGGAATTCCAGGGAATTCACCTGGATCCCCTCCTGGCACCCCTCAGGATCCCTCGGGGATCCATCTGGGACCCTGCACGGGCGCTGGGACCCCGATCCCTGATTGCCAGTCTCCTTCTTGCTCTCTGCTGTTCTCTCCCTTTCCTCCGGTTGATCACAAATCCCAGAGCGGCCGCAGAGCCCCGTGCCCAGCCCGGGCTTCCCAGCAAAGGGAGGCCTGGGGCTGAGGTGCCCCGGGCTGGCCGGGAATGGGGGCCCGGGGGTCCCCGGGGGGATCCAGGGGCTGGGAGAGGAGGATACCCGGGAAAGGGGGTGCAGGGGGGCGAATCTGGGAAACAGCAGCAGCTGCTGGGGAGGGACTGGGACAGACTGGGAAAGAACCCACTGGGAGAAGAAGTGGGGCACCAGGGATCATATTGGGATATACTGGGACCACACTGAGGGCTACTGGGAGCAACTGTGAGCATGCAGGGCACAATTAAGATGTACTGGGAGACCCTGGGATTGGTGGTAATCATCCTGGGACTAACTGGAATCATACTGAGAGTGATCAGATCTGTAGTAGGGGTGAATTAGAGAAACGGGAATAATGCAGGGGCAACTGGGATCATACTGGGAGCAGCTGGCCCATGCTGGTGTCATACTGGTGTCATACTGGAATTGGCTGGGTTACACTTGGAGTGACTGGCATAGTACTGGGAGTGTCTGGGAGCTACTGGGATCATACTGGAGATGACTGGCATCAAACCAGACTCATACTGGGAATGTTTGGGACTTTCTGGGATTGTACTGGAGGTGACTGGACTTATACTGGGAGCAACTGGGCAGGGGCAAATGACATCGTGTAAAGTGTGACTGGGTTCATAATGGACTCTTACATACAGGGACTGAGAGGGAAGGAACCATACAGGGGATGACTGGGAGCTACTGGGGCCATGTCGGGGGCAGCTGGATCCTACTGGGAGTGATTTGGACAATACTGGGAGTGACCGGGATCCACCGGTGAGGCGGCGGCGGAGCTCGGAGGCGGCCCCGGCGCAGGTGGGAGCCGCGCTGGGTTGTGCGGGGGCTCGGGGCTGGCTGCGGGCCTCGGGGGCGGCAGGGGGCTCGGGCGGGTGGGTTGTGCCGTGGCCGGCCCGTGTTGGCCCTGGGCTGAGGGCGCTGCGGGAGCGGCTGCCCGCGGTCTCCTTGCCGCCGCTGCCTCGGCAGGAGCCGCTGCCGGAGCAGCGCTGGCTCGGCCCGCTCGCTGTGGCTGGGACAGAGCGGGCTGTTCCGTCCCCGGAGGCTGCGCCGGGGCCGCCTCCGAGCTCCGCCGCCGCCTCACCGGGCTCCGGCCGCTGCCGCCGCTCCCGAGTCCGCACACGCGTTCCGGTAATGGCGGCTCTGAGCAGCGAGGGGCGCCCTGGGGGCGGCACCGGGGCCGTGCTCGGCCCCACTCTGACCAATCAGCGACCAGAACGAGGAGTGACGGCAGAATTAGCCAATTAGAGCGAGGGGCGGGCTCTGCACACGGCTCGGGCTCTGCACACGGCACGGCCTCGCCTCCCTTTCCCCGAACTCCGGCTTTTCCCGGAACACGCGGCTGAGGAGCGGCCCTGGCGCTGGGCCCGGCCCGGGCAGGAGGCCAAGGAACCGCCGGGAGCTCGGCCTTGACATAAATAGGGCAGGAGATCTTTCTCCTTTTCAATGCCTTTATTAAAGAGATTCAGCTCAGGTGGGGAGAAATCGACGGGTCGCGCCCACGCCGCCGCTGTCCCCAAGAGTGGCACGGAGGAGGAGGGTGATGCAGCTCTGTCCGCTGGTCTGCAGGCAGAGCTGGGGACTGCGTCCTCACGGGAGATTGGCAGATTCCTGCTTTTCAGTCCAACACTTCGGGTCCCCTCCTTATGGAACATCTCTTGAGGTCAGGGTGTGAAGCAAAAAGGATCTAAGCAGGCACTGGACTTCACGCCCGTCCTTAGACATCACCTAGGGTCCCCCAATTCTATATTGGCTCGTTGTTTTTAGGGGTTTTCCAAGAAAACGGGAAAATTTTGGAGCGGTGCATTTCCAATTTGCATACGTGGTCCCAGGCCACTCCTGTTCTCCTGGGCTGCGTGTCCAGGTGTAGCTCCGGGGCAAGCATTGGGAGAACAATGGCTAAATCACCAACCATTAACGGGCAATTGAAGAACTCTTTACAATTAAGCTAATTTAACAGCAACTGGTCCCACCGTTTTTTTTCTCTGTAACCTTAAACAAAAATAGGTATATTTTTATTCATAACAGGCCTGACCGGGACCTGAGGGCGCTGGGAACTGAGGTGAGTCCGGGACGGAGCAGGGACCCCCCTGCAGCCCCGGCAGGAGCCCAGGCCGGAGCAGGGGATGCTGGAGAGAGACCAAAACCTCTCTGTCACTTCCCACCTCACCCTGGGCAGGGAACAGAGCACGTAAGGAAAGGCTCGAGGGTCTGGATAAGGGCGAGGCAGTTCAGTTACTGGTTGCGGGCACAACACACTTGACTTGGGGAAATTAATTTATTATCAGACATGTCAGAGCAAGAGAATGAGAAGTAAAATAATTCCTAGGAAAACATCTTCCCCCCACATCTCCCTCCTTCCCGGACTTTATCTGCATTCCCACTCTTCTGCCCACCCAGAGGCACAGGGGATGGGGTCGCAGCCAGGGCATGTCACAGCCTCAGGGTCAGGAATCCTTGTCCTGACGCAGTCCCTCGGGAACGGGCTGCTCCAAGGGGATGCGCCACGGGCTCACAAGACCCGCCAGGAGCCACTTCCATGGCTCTGCAGGGGCTTCCCACGGGCTCGGGGCCTCCCTCAGGCATCCCCTGCCCGCGGTCTCCTTGCCGCCGCTGCCTCGGCAGGAGCCGCTGCCGGAGCAGCGCTGGCTCGGCCCGCTCGCTGTGGCTGGGACAGAGGGGGCTGCCCCGCGGGCGGGGCTGTGCGGGGAAATTGCCGTGGCCGGAGGTTTGTGTGGCCGAGCAGACAGAGGAGTCCTGTAAAAGTGACTTTATTGCTGGGCAGAGGCACAGGCCGTGCGGCATTTGCCAGGCGCTCTCTGCCATTGCTGTAGTACGCAGCCTCCTTTGGATCCTCATTTTCCCGGCCGCTTCTCCCTTTCCCTTTGCCCTGAGGTGCTTGGAAGGTTCAGACTTCCCGATCTGCCAACTGCATGTCCTCGTTAATGTGCACCCCCACTTTTGTGGGGCCGATATTCATGGCTTTGCTGAGACTTTCTTCTTATCCTCGAAGTTCAGGAATTCAGTGATACTTTGAGCAGCTCTCTGTGTCAATTAGTAACATTTTCTGAATCTCTTGTTGCTTTCTTCCATTACTTCCTTATGTTCAAGTCCCTGACCCTATCTCCCGGCAGATTCACCCAGTGATTTTTTTTTTTTTTTTTTTTTTTTTTTTTTTTTTTTTTTTTTTTTTTTTTTTTTTTTTGTTTTTTTTTTGTGTGGTTTTTTTTCCTTTTGGCTTACTGGGTCCTCTTTGGTTTTGGGATTATTCTCAGTGCCCTCATT